ACACCCTCGGGCCTGTGAATCGGATACGCGACGCTCTATGTACGACGCGTTTGCTCAAGGATAAAGCCGCTTCGAACGATTTACGGATGTCACCGTCGCGCATACGCATCCAGCGCATTCGTAGCACGCCGATTTTTAACCCTTTCGGTACGAGCGCCGGATATATCCGGCATCCGGACGGATATATCTGTCACAGATGTCCAGATGGATATATCAGTCACCGAGCGCCGGATATACAGGGTATTCCAAAATTATGGTATTTCCGGGAAATGAGAGGTTCCCGAGATCATTTGAAGCAACTTTTTCCTTAGCGAAAATATTCTACGAGGCTTCGTTCGCGAGTTATCGACGAAAAACAGTGACCAATGAGAGGCGAGCTCGACTGGCGCGAGGAGGCCGAGCCAACGAGCGCGCGAAGCCCAGATCCGCTGATTGACTCGGCTGCCTTGCGTCAACCGAGCTCGTCTTTGATTGGTCAGTGTTTTTCGTTAATAACTCGTGAACGAAGCATCGTGGAACATTTTCGCTGAGGAAAAAGTTGCTACAAACGACCCCAGGAACCCCTCGTTTCCCGGAAATACCATAATTTTGGGACACCCTGTTTACCGGCATCCATGCGATGACCGGTATGGATAAGTGCCGAATACATCTGGCATTCGTGCGAGCAATATTTCTGACGTATTAGAAATTATTCTAATAAAGTTTTTTCTTACAAGGATTCCGAAAAAACAGCTACAGGTATAATCGTCGTTTGACCTGGATTGATTTACAAAATTTGAGGTTACGTTCTTGTTCGAAGCTTGTTCATAGATTTGAACATATTGTAGGCCCTTAACAGAACGTTTGCAGGAAACAAAAGATTTAGTCATTGCTTAAGAAAATCTTCGTACAAAAGTGTGGACTGACCCACTGTGCTATGCGCGCATTTTCGTTGCGTCACCCCGAGCCAATGAGCGGAACTGGGCTTCGCGCGCTGGTTGGCTGGGCCGCCTCGCGTCAGCCGTACTCGATTCTTATTGGTCACCGTTTTTCGTTGATAACTCGTGAACGGTGCCTCGGAGAACATTTTTGTAAAGGAAGAAGTTGCTTCGAATGATCCGAGGAACCCGCCATTTCCGAATTGCGACACATTTTTGGGACACCCTGTAGATCGCGATACGTCGATACAACTTGTTATCGTTCGATTCGCAGGAAACTCTGAGAAAAGAAATGGTCGCCGGTCGTTCCGCGGGTTCGTAGCCGAGACTGGGGACCGCGTGTTACAAGTTTTGCGAAGCCCGTGGAATGGATAGATGCGTCGTGATATTTTCTAGACGGACGACGCGAGTAGACGAAACGAATAGAATCGCGAGTGGAAAACTCGACGCAACAATGCCGGAGAAGGAGCAAGTTTCGCATTGCTGTCCCCGCCTCTCGCAAGTCCGCGTCCCCCTCTAGCAAATGTTTGGAAACGTTTCGGTTCGAGTTAAAAGGAGACAAGAAATTTAGTTATGCCGGGACAAGCCGGCCAGGTGGTCGAGGACGTTCCGGTCTCTCCCATGACCGAGAGTAGCCACGGCGACATTCCGAAATGCTTTCTCCCCTCCTCCGCGTTTCGTGGCGGGTTCCTGCGCCCTATCACGGCTGACCCGGCCATTTCCTATCCTTCATCCGCCGCGCATTTCCATCCCTCTGCTGGACAACCCCCGTCGAGCGGCGAGCGTCGACCGGCGAGCAGCGAGCAGCGAACGGCGAGCACGCCGAATGCAACCATGCGTCATCCGCCATGATCTATGCATTCTGTCGTGCTAGCATTACACGCGAGCGCGCTATCCGTGTGCTCGTGCATCGTGCATCGTGCAACGACGACACCGCTCCGCGGAGAACGTTCACGCGTACAGGCAGATAGTCGTAGGCGGTATATCCAGTTTGGCTAGCCGGAAGCATGTATGTGCATGTATCCGATGGTTGTTGCTCTAGTGGTTCGTAGTCGCCGTCGCCGTCGCCGGTAGTCGATCGCTGGTCGTCGGTTGCCGTTGCCGTCGCGACCAGCGACCAGCGACCGTACGCGTGCGCCAGCATCTGGACTCGCTCGCCTCTCTATTAAAGCTCCCGCTCGTTTTCACCAGCTAACGCGTTGCGTATCGTGGCTCGTGGCTCGTGCCTCGCGACGCAAAAAAACCCCTACCATCGGGGCACACGCGAATACAGTAAATTCAACCTAATCGACGCTCAGATTGTACACAAAAATGGACAATTTCGGAACAGGAGATACGATTGTTCGAGCTTCTGCGGCTCGTTTTTGTAGTTACTGATTGAGCCGTTTATTTTGAAAGTGGCATAAGTCACTTTACCGTAATGAAAAGTGGCGATTTCTTAATGTTTATACGAAATTATTTATACCGAGAAAAATATCAGTATCCTGAGATAACAAATACAAGTAAATCTTCTCGAAAGTTAGTATCCATATTTTGAAACGTGTTCAAACGCAAACCCTTAAATATATCGACTTAAAAACAAAGTGACTTATGCCACTTTCAAAAGAAACGGCTCGATTGTCAACGACTGTAAAAACGAGCCGCGAGGCTCGGATCGATCGTATCTCCTCGCCCGAAATTGTCCATTTTTGTGCACAATTTGAGCGTCGATTAGGGAGAGCTTACCGTGTTCGGTGCCAGTCCGGTCAGGGTTTTATCCTCGAGCGGTTTCCGCCGAAGACGCGTTCTTCGTCGATCGAAATCTTCGGTAACGCCAGCCTGGTTCGGTAAACGAAAATATTCGTACGATGTGCGCGACGTATTGAGATTTCGGGGATGATCTCTCGTAAGCGATTATCGCGATTTGGACGACATATACGGATCGACTATTTTTTCGTACGACAATAGATTTCGAATATGGTTTCGCGGATGCTCGTATGTACACGTAGCAGGTAGGTCAACGTATATTTAAAAAATATACATACACAGCGTCAAGACAATTCGTATTCTTCGTTCGCACATACTCGAAGAACAAAACGTACTAATTCGCATAAATATAGGGCGCAGCAATTGGCCTCGCCCCACGGTTACCGGCTCCTGCTACTTTATTCGGTATTCGGTATCAGTCGATTACGAGTCGTTTAACAGACCCTACCGCCGATAACTTCGTTCCCGACTAGGTTGTCGATATTTTGAGGAGGACGATGGCCACGGACGACGATGGAAACTCCGCCGGACATTCGCGAAGGGTGTCTCGCCGTGTTCGCGTAAACAGAAGGAAACGATGTTTCGCTTTGGGATTGGAAGATCTCGCGGAACGCGTCGGGACGCAGGATTTCTCCCGATTTCTCCTGGTTTCGGGAGGTTTGTTCCCGCGCAAGGGATCCGGTATCACGGTCGAAGCCGAGGGGAAGGAGGCTCTTC